TCGCCTCCGCGGCCACTGCTGCTCACAGGGGAAAAATCATATTTTCAGCTCCAAGCCTCCATCCCCTTTTCCAGTCTGGAGCTTTTTTAGAGCCACAGGGAAGAAAAGGACATGGCCTGGCTGCTTGGCTTCCCTGCCTCCCTCTGCTCCTGCTCTTTCATTCCTCTCTTCCCGGCAGCTTTGCTCACAGCTCCTGTCCCTGCGCCCTTTTTTCTCCTTCTGCCTAAACATCCGGGCTGGGCGGCTTCACTGGGTAAGCAGCGAGGGAAAAAGGCTTTTGTTGGAGCAGATGTGAGGGCAGGTGAGCTGCAGAGCCCCCTCCTGCCCGCAGAGAAGCCAGGTGCTTCCACAGAGGCCAGCACAGAAAGCAGGGGTGGGACACACTGGTCCTGGAGACGGGGACACACCTGGTCCTGGGGACAGGGACACAGGCTTGGCAGGTCCCTGATGTCCCCCTGGAGATGATGGAGAGGCATCCAGTGTCCATCTGGAGATGATGGAGAGGCATCCAGTGCCCACCTGGAGCTGATGGAGAGGTATCCTGACATCCAGGGCTGGCTGGGGGTATCCCACCCTGTGCTGGTCCCGCTCCCATCGTGGTTTTTCACATTCAGACCCCACAGGTTTCCCTCTTCCCTGCCAGGCACAGTGGAGCCAGTGCTGATGGAGGGCACATGGGCATCCCCATCCTTTATCAACCCAAACAAGGGTCTTCACCCCAACGTCAGCCCCAGCAGCCCCCTCACACCAGGCCCAGCATCCTGAAGCTCCTGAGCTGCTCACTGATGGTCCTTGTGAGCAGTGGATGCACCCACAGCCTTGGCACTCTGCAGGGAAAGCTGCAGCTGGAGAAACTTGGGCAGGGTGATGGAGGGAGGGGACAGGGTGGTCACTGCCACCATCCTGTGCCCAAGGGGCCAGCACAGCTTGCAGCTGCCCCAGGGCCATGGGCTCTCCTGGGTTTCCTGTGGGTGGAAATGGCTTTAAAAAAAAAAAGAGAGAGAGAGAACCTTGACCTTGGATGCACCTGGATATAGGGATGGGGGGAGTGGGACAGCTGGGTGCTGGGCTCTGCCCTGAGGGGTCAGCTTTGCAGGGAAAAAGGCCATAAACCAGGTATTTACCCCTTGAAAGGTGGTGAATTCCCTCTTGCAACAGTCTCATTCTGTGAAATGCATTTACCAGGCTAAAGGTGCTCCAGCAGCAGCGTCCTGCCACCATCTGAGGGTTGTTCCCAGCTTGGCACACAGGGCACATTGTCCTGGGGCTGTTGCTGCTTCTTCACCCTGCAGGCCACTCCTCACTCACTCTTTTCTTGGGAAAACCACCTTGGATCCCTCCTCCTCCCCCTCCCTGGCCAAAGCAGGCAGTGTCTTGCAGGACCCCGCTCCTGGCAGCAGGGCAGAGCCAAGGGAATAATTGGTAGGTGCTTCTGGAGTGCCATGGGCAGAGGGCACTCACAGCCTTTGTTTACTGACTCTTGATGTAATGAATACTTCCAGAGATAATTACTGACTTTCTGCCCTCCCAGTAAATCCGTCTGGGGAATGGCTGGAGCGGTGCCATGCCAATGGCACGGGGAGGTGGGAATGGGGTGGATTGAGCAAAACCAGGTTCTGGCTCTTCCCACTGGGTACAAGCCAAATAAGAAAAAAAACCAAACCAAAACAACACTCAACGTTTATAGAAAAATATTTATGTAGCTCCAGGACAAGCCCAGCTTTCTTCTCCCTACTAGGGGGAACAGATTAAAACTTAATCCTTGCTAAACACATTTTCTCCTTTCCCTCCCTTGGGGTGCCTCCTGCACACACACAGCTTCTTCCTGCTGAAAACTGCTTCCCTTGGGCTTGTCCTCCTCAGCAGCAGCCCGGTGGGTGTTCACCAGAGCAGGGACCCCCCTCTTCTCTCCACACCCTCAAAATCAAAGCTTCTGTGTGGGAGGACAAGAGGACCCAGGGCCTTTTAAATGTGGAAGAGGGAAATACAGGCAAAGGCATGGCTGGAGTTCCTCTGTCCCTGAGCCAGGTGGGTCCCTCTCACATTTCCCAGGGGGGTTTGGATGCTGAGGGGAGGTTTGGGAGGTCAGGAGGGTTCTGGGTGTTTAATTGTGGGGTACAGGGGGTTGTAGGGCTGCAGAGCCAGGTGTGGCAAGCAGGGCTGAGGGCCAGCAGCCTTGGGGAGAGCCGGGTCTGCAGCACCCCGTGCACATGAGGGAAGCCCTTTGTGTCACTCAAAAAAACCCAAATAATGAGAGAAGAGCTCTTTAAAGAAGACAGTTTTTATATTATATTTTATTAATAGGTCCTGATTAAGAGGAAAAAGTGAAATTATCCTTTAAGCCCCAGTTTCCCTGTTCCCATCCCAGGACTCACTCGCTCTGCTACAGTTTATAGCAAGCATTTGAACCTGGCAGAGCCCCACGCTACTGCTGCAGCTGTAAATAACCCAGGCTGGCATTTATGGCACTGCCAGGGGTGACTAACTGAGGGCTCTGTGCTGCTGGCACACGGTGCTCCCACAGGGCAGGCAGCACCTGCAGGGGCTCCAGGGACGCTGTGGCCATGCCCACCCCATGGGAGCAGTCCCACAGCCCCCAGAGGGACACCAGCCCCAGTCCCATGGGTTAACAGACACACCAGATGCACACAGCATCCCTTCTGCTTGTGATATAGTGCTTTTCCTGGCTATCTTGTAATGCTTTCTCGGGCTGTTTATTTATGAGACAATTTATTACTGTGCAGTTATTCTATAGCAGGGGAGTCTGTTCCTGGGAGCCTCCGTTAACCGAGCCAATTGCTTAATTGGCTCACTGATGTCTCCACAAGGTGCGCCAGGAGAGAGGCTCTTGTAGTGATGGCAGCCTTCCTCCTGCCCACACACCACCCGTGCTGCTAATTTAATAGTGCAAACATTTATTATTCTTTTTATTTGGGATTCAATGTCAGGGTGATTGGAGAGAGCGCTGGTGGAAGGGGTGAAATGCCCCGGAGTGCAGCTGGAGGTGGTTGGGCTCATCCTGCAAAGCCCAGGGGATGGTGATGCCTGGCAGGGTGTGTGGTTAATGAGGCACCAGAGGAGGCTTGGGGCTGGCAGTGCCGCTGGGGCTCCTGCCTGACCCTCACCCCACGTTTGTGTCACTCACCAGCAAATCAGAGCAAGACTGGGGAGTGTGTGTACTTAACACCTGATCTCTATTTATGGAGTTTAATGTGCTCTGAAGGGGAAACAGGTCCCTAATGAGCAGCCTGTGTTCTGTGGGAATGACTGGCAGGGCCAGAGGAAAGCCGAGGTTGGATTCGCTGGGGTGGGGAGTCCCTGTCCGTGCCCAGCTGCAGGAGAGGAGCGCTGGGCCCCTGGTGGCTGTGCTGGGGCTGCTGTGTGTGCCCTCCCCAGCCGTGCTTTCACAGCCTGGCACCTCTAGCCCTCCCAAACCCTTTCCCCTGCTCCTTCTGCCCTTTGCTGTGACTGTCCCTGGAGGATCCCCGCTCTGACACCTGCCCCGGCCTGCGCAGCGTGCCCTGTGCTGGAGCACAGCTCCGAGCCGGCCTTTCCCTTGGGCGGCTTCCCGGGGGATAACACTCTCCCAGCGAGCATCTCTGCGCCGTGCCTGAGCGCTGTCCTTCCCCGTGGGGTTTTCAGGCATTGTTTGGCAGCGCTGACAGTGTTTCTCCAAGCCCTGCTGGATGCGTGCCCGCTCTCGCTGCTGCCCTTCCCCAGCATCCCCGTCCAGCCGCGGCACAGAGCGCGGCCCGCGTGTGCCGGTGATGCTGCGGGGACAGCGCTGCTGACCCCGGCACGGACGGGGCAGGCAACCAGGAGCTGGCAAACCACGAGCCTTCTGCTGGTGTTGTAAGAAGCGATTAAGTTTCCCCATGATTTTCCTTCTTCTCCGGCTCCCACCGCCTATTGTTCCCGCCTCCATTATCCCCCCGCCGCTTACATAAGCGCATCGTGCGGGTTTCTGAGGCACAATAGAGACAGTCTCATTCATCCAAGGTCACCAGCTCTTACTTGCGCTTCAAAGCATGTGGTAGAAGAAGCGTTTTCTCCTAAAGACGTTTTTATTGTACTCCGCGCAGAGGCTGGGGGAAATCGCAGCGCTGCACTTGCACCGCCCCAGCTCTTCTTCCCTCCCCACGCGTCCGGTCCTGGCGGGTCAAATCCTTCCTGGAAGCTGAGGAATTGTTTTCTGCGCTGGTTGGGACCCCACTATGGGATTTCCAGCCTGGCACTGGGCTGGAGCCGAGGAACTGCATGCTCCATCCCAGCCCCTGCCCAGTTAAATGGGAAGGGAGGTGGAGAGGGGTGGAAAAGCGGTTGTATTTCGAATTCTCTGTCCCATATGGGTCTCGGTGTGGACGAGTTACAGAGCGGTCTCTACGGCCTCCTGCCGCTTTCTCCCTTAGCTGTGGCTCCAGGCTTTCCCTTCTTTCCTTGTGTCTGGTCGGGACTGGGCAAACACGGAGGCTCCTGGGAGCCTGTGCGGGGCCCGGGGACTCGCTGTGCCCGGGAGGCTCCGTGCCCCGCAAAGGGCAAAGCGCAGCGGCGATCCCGCAGCGGGCTGGCAGCGGCCTCTCGGCTGGGGAAGGAAATGATGGGGGATGCGCACGGACGGTCCTGGGGGCTGCGAGGGGGTGGGAAACCCCCCAGGATTCACCCAGGCGAGGTGAGCGGTGCGCGGGGAGCGGACACGGCCCGAGGGGGTGGAACCCCCCCAGGATTCACCCAGGCGGGGGAGCGGACACGGCCGGAGGGGGTCGCGGGTGCCCCGGAGCCGCCCCCTCCCTCCCCGCGCTGGGCTCCGCCGCTCCGGGCGCAGCCGCGGCGGGGGCGGTGCCGGGGAGGGGACGGCGGCGGGCCCGGCCCCTGTGCCCGCCCCGCCGGCACAAAACGGGAGGCGGGGGCGGCCGGGGCCGCACTCCCCGCAGCGGGCCGGGCTGCGGGCCATGTAGCGCTCAGCACCGCGGACAGCGGCGGGGCTGCCCGTGGGTCCGGGGCCATGGCCGGCGTGCAGCAAGGAGAGAAGCAGCTCTTCGAGAAGTTCTGGAGAGGCACCTTCAAAGCCGTGGCCACGCCGCGACCCGAGAGCATCATCGTGGCCAGTATCACCGCCCGCAAGCCGCTGCCCAGGTAAGGGCTACCGGGGCAGGGGAGGGGGTCTGGGAGATCCTGCGTCCTTCTCCATCTCTAGTCCTCTTCCCACCATAAGGAGAGTCCTGAGCGTGTCTCCCCGCCACCAGCAGCTGTTCGTGGCTGAAGGAGCCGGGGCACCTCCCCTTGCCTGAGGCTGGGGTGCTGGCTGGGTGAGCCCCCTCCCTGGGCAGGTGCTGTGCTCCAGAGCTGAGCAGGCTTGGGAAACTTTGGAGCCTGGGAGCAGGATGAGGGTCTGCAAAGCTCTAGCTGGGCTACAGAGTGGTGGGGGGCATTAGCTGGAAAGTGTGACCAGCTCCATCCCCGCTGTGCAGAGCCCTGGGCTGTGTGTCCTGCTGGTGGCCTTGTCTCTGTGTCAGCCCTTCACCTCGGACCCTTGGGAAGGTGAAGCCTGGGGAGGGAAACAGCCCTTGGGGCTGACCCTGCCTTGTCACCGAGGGGAGGCTGGTGACCCCCAGGGACACACACTGCAAGCAGCCTGGTCACTGCCACAGACAGGGACAGCTCTGGGGATGGTGTCCCCCACGTCCCACAGCCAAGCAGCCTTGACTTTGCTCACACAGCACCTGTTCTGCCCTCCTGCTCCAGCAAAGTCAATGCCCCCATGTTTGACAGAGGCTGAGCAAGAGGGAAACCTGTGAAAAGAGGCAAGGGGGCTGCAGGTACCCCTTGAACCTCTCTGTCAGGCTGTCACACAGGCAAAGGTCTGTGTGGCTTCCTCACAGCCATGCACACTCTAATTTAGACCACCTTTATTTTGCTGATTGTCTCAGTATTTGTTAATAATATCCTATTTGTGCTGCTTTTATAAACAAAGGACTCTCTTGCTGGCTCTCCTCTCTCTTTGCTCTGTTTTTCCTCTGCTGGGTCCTGCCCAGCTGCTGTGAGGAACCAGCCAAAGTTCGTGGAGGTGCTGTGTCTGTAGGGGAGAGGGGCTCAGTCTGCAGGAGACTGGGTGCTGGGGGCTCAGCCTGTCCTAGGGAGGAGGGAGATCCTTTGAAATGAGCCTTTTCAGATGCTTCCCGTGCCAGTGGAGGCTGTGAGCCACAGCACAGTGGGGATGGGGTCCCTTCTGCCCCTGCAGCTCAGCTGCTGAGCGTGAATGTTTCCAACCTCTCTGATTTCCATTAATCTAGGTAGGAAAATGGGAAAGGCATGGGTTCAGCCTCTAGTTGAGAAGAACAACTCTTGTTTCCACAGGCAGTGTTTGCAGGGCTTCAGCCTTTGTGGCAGAGGGGAACCTCTGTGTTTTTCTCCATCCATGAATCGGGTAGGGTCGGCACCTGAAGGGCTGAGGGCTGTCTCACACTCACACTCCTGCCTGGAGGTACCTGAGTGAGCTTAAATATCTTGCAGTTGGAGGTGTAATAAGGGAACAAATTCAGATTTTGTGGAAATACACCCAGCCTGGGTGCCAGGAATGTTGCCTGGCTCTATCTAGCCAGCAGTTTGGATGGCACAGACATCGTGGTGGGGCTGAACACCGCGGCTCGGGGTGTTTGCAGATCCATTAAAAAGTTCCCAAATGTGAGCACCGCTCCGTGCTGTTGGTAGTGACAGCTCCGGTGGCAGTGAAACAGTGCAGGAGCTCTGGGCACAGAGCAGAGCCAGCCCTGCTTTGCTGTGGTTTGTGGTGGGCACCAGCAGACCCAGGTGCCCACTCTGGGCTGTGCTCCGCTGCCGGGTCAGTGCAGCCCGGCTCCTTTTGTCCCCTGGCGTGTGTCCTGCCGGCCCGGGGCTGTTCCCTGCCGTGTGGCGGCCGCACAGAGCCGGGCCAGCCCTGCGGGGCACTCGCTGGGCTCGCCCTGCCCGGGCACGGAGGGGCTGTGCTGCTCCAGGGGCTGCCACCAAAGCTGCGGGGACAGAGATGCTGCAGTTCCCAGCTCTTCTCATCGGTGCTGCCGGCTCGGCTCGCATCTCACGGGGCTCTGCCAGGAGCTGGAGCTGCCGTCTGGGCAGGATCACACCTCTGAGTGCCACATCTCACACCCCCAGGGGCTCCTTTGGCTGCACGGTGATGTCCCCAAGCCGGCCCTAGGCCCCTGGTCCAGCAGTACCCAGAGCCAGGCTCCTGCTCCCCATCCATGGAGAGAACAGACCCAGGGCTCACAGCAGCTCCTCTTGTAGTGGTCTCTGTGCCTGGCTCCACTCTGGGTTTGTTTTTCCGGAAGGTTTCGCTGCGCCACTGCTTGGACCAGCCTCCCTTCCCTGACGATACTCCCGACTAATTTAAGAGCAAATGACTGTGGTGCCAGAGAGGAGATGGGGAAACCAGTTAGCCAAATGAAATATTAAGATGACCATCTGGATTGCTGTTTTCTCCCACACTTGACAGCTGGTCCCCTGCAAACACCCTGCCCTGGATCCGGCCCCGTGCTTCCCACAGCAGTGGAGACGCTGCCATGGTTTCTAGGCCAGCACTGCCCACCTCCCATCAGTTTTCCTGTGCCCTTGTGGAGTGTCAAGGGGCTCAGCTGCTCCATGGGGGTCCTGCCAGGGATTCCCTCCACAGTGTCCATAGCACAAAGCATCCTGCAGGGTGCCCTGAGAATGGCTAAGGGCCCAATCCTGCATCCTTGTGGGGCAACAATGGGGTTACCTGGACAGAAAGTGATGCTTTTTCCCCCTACTCCATCCCTCACCACTCCCTTCCTGCTGCTTCTGCAGGTAAAGCATCTTCCATCTAAATTCCCATCTAGCTGTCTTGGAGGTTGGGAGGGTTAAAGCTTTGCTAAACCCACGGTTCATCCTGGAACAAAAGAGTGCATTAATACCTTCCCTCCTGCTGGGGCTGGGGGGGCATGGAATCCAGCCCCCCAGACAGCTTTGTGCCCAGAGCAGAGCTCTGCCAAAGTAAATGGATTATTGACCAGTTTGCAGAGTGAAAGGGAAAACCGAGGTGATGGGGAAAGGGGCTTTTCCAATTAACCTTTGCCCACACAGGGCCTGGTGGGGCTTTGCTGTGCAGCTGAGGGTGAGGGGCTGCATGGTGAGGGGAGGCTGGGGCTGACCCAGAGCTTGCCTTAGCAGGGGAATTGCTCCAGCATGTGCAAAATCCCAGTGAGATTTGAGAGGGCTTTGTGCCCAGTGTGCTGGGGAGGGATGGGGTCTGGGACAGGGACCACCTACCCTGCCCTGAGCCCCTCTGCCAAACCGGGGTGCCCTCAGTCTCTCTCACTGGGCCATGAGGATGGGGCTTTGGCTCTGGTGAACTGAAAATGCTTTCAAAATCTTCTGTGTTAAGGTGCCACTGGCCTCTGGGGATGGGTATGAACACCATGCTGTGGCCCCAGCCCCAGAGCAGGATCAGCTTCCCTCCCTCTGGGCTGGGCTTTTGTCTGCATCTCCTCCCTGGCCGTGACCTCGGGCACAGCACGGGGCTGGGAGCCCTGTCCCACCTGGAAGTGGGACAGTGACTTCTCCAGCACTGCTGAGAATTCCATCAGCACCAGTGCCGGGACCTGGGGACATCCAGGCAGGAGATGCTCCAGGGTACCCCAGGAACTGGAGCTGGTGGGAGTGTGGGGGCTTGTGGGATAATTCTGGGGGTGGTTTAGTTCCCTGCTGCCTCACTGCCAGCCACCGTACTGTTGGCATGAGCTGCCCTGTCTCCAGAAACTCAGCCAAAATCCACTTTTGGGCCTGCGGGTGCTGGTGTCAGCTCCCGGGGCAGCCGCTGAGACAGAGGAGGCTCCTGCATCCCTCCCTGCCAGATGGTCTAAGTGGGTCACATCAGGGCAGATTTGTGCTTTAACCCTTAATCCCCCGGGATGCGCCGTGCGCGGAGGGGGAGGGATGTGCTGCTGAGGTGCGATTAAGCCGTAGTTTGCCATCGCGGGTGATCTTGGAGAGGAGTCTGGGACAAGGGTGCCGGGGACAGGGGTGCCGTGTCCTGGGTGCCGTGTCCTCCCCGCTGCATTGGGACACGGCAGGAGCAGCCAGGGCGCGGCAGTGCCGGAGGTCTCGGTATCCTCCGAGGCTGCACGAAGCAGCTGCGCATCTCCTGTGGCCTCTGCCGCGACTTTTGGCCATGCCAGTCTCTGGCTGCCTTTGGCTGCCACGATTCCCCAGCGTGCCCCCCCATCCTCGGCAGGGATGCGGGGTGTGCTGGCGGGGAGGGAGCCCCGCTGGCAGCCCTGCCGTGCCGCTGCCCCCCAGCCCCGCTAATCTCCCCTGGCTGGCCGGGCATCTGTTCCGCGGGGCCGCCTGGCTGCCATCTGCTGCTCCATCCTGCGAGCCCCGGTGCTAATGAGCCCGTGGCCCCGGCCCAAGGAGGGGGGAGAGGGGCTTGAAAAGAAAAGCGAGGGGGAGAAGAAAAGCCCCTTCCTCGGAGGGGCTGTCAATAGCGAGGCTTTTGTGTGCCCCTGCCCTCCGGCTCCAGCTGGACGGCGCTGGGAGCAGGCAGAGCTAATTAGGCAGCTCGGAACTGCCGGGGGGCTGCGGGCGGCTCAGCGAGGGGAAGAGCTGGGAATGCCCGCAGGACCCACTCCCTGCTGCTCGCAGAGCCTTCCTCATCCTCATCCTCCTCCTTTCCATCTGCCTCTGCTCTGCGCTGGTGCTGGGCACCGTGACCCTGCTGGGGAATGCTGAGATTTTGGGGACAGGTAATTTCTCACCTGTAAAAGTCCACTTGAGAGCTTTGCTGAGCTTTGCTTGGGGCCCAAACCATGGGTCCTGCTCCCACCTCACCGGCACAACCTGGCCCTGCTGCTGAGTGAGGGGCCACAGCAGCTGCTGAGGAAACACGGGATGAGGGTCTCCCTAAATCCAGGATTTGCTGCTGCCCCACCTCTGGCCAAAAGCGACCCTGCGGTGTCCCCGCTGTGCCAGGGAAGCACCGTATCCAATCTCTTTAGATGTGGGATGAAATCAGGTGGAAGGCAGCAAAAGGGAGGACAATTCCACTGGCTGGCTGGAGGATGGTTTTGTAGAAATATTTGATTTCACCCTTGATCAAACCCACTGGAGACACTGGCCTG